CATGTTAGCTCTCCATCGTTATTGACTTGGTCTGGCCCTCAGAAAGGGGGTGGGAAGGGAGCAGAGCTGGGAGGCGACAGCTGTTGGTTCGCATTTGAGCTTTGCTCCTGAGTAATCTGGAGGCATCACTTACTCGCCGGCAGCCCCTGCACTTACCTTGGAGTGCCACTAACTAGAAAAAGGATGCCAAGCACCCCGCTCAGGACCTAGCACGTGAGCACTCAGTAAAGGCTCGCTTGTCAATCACTTACTAGTCATTCACCAGTACAGCTCATGGATGCTGGCTGTGTACCAGGCTGCCAGGGTTGCTAGAGTCTCTACCCGCCCTTCCCTTGAGCTCCTAGTCTGGTCCCAGGTTGTGGCCCACCAGCATTTGGGGGTGTATCTCTGGGAGGTCTCCAATCAAGATCACTTTCAGGAGCCTAAAGTACCCTGACCGTCACCATCCTTTCCCTTGTCACAGGAAAAAAACTAAAAAGGGATAATAGTTTGTGACTGTTACTTATTATCTCAACTTAGTCCCAGGGAGTTCTGTGGGTGTCTTCTCTGTAAGGAAAATGAACACTGTTTTTGCAAAGCTCCTGCAGGAAGCCTTTGCCCAGCTTGCTCCTGATGCTTGAAGGACAGAGAGAAAGCTCCACCTGTGGACTTAGTCTTGAGCGCCCACTACCCGGTCCTGGCCCTCCACCCTTCAAAGCAGACTCTGTATTTACTTCCAGAAAATTATGAGATGCACTGAAAAAAAAAAAATCAGTTCTTTCATGAGTGAAGGGTGGAAGTTTGGTCATTTCAGCCAAATATTGGGTAATACTGGTTTGTGATAGTAAACAGTTGAATGAAGATAACACTCATGCAAGTGGGCTCTGGTAACTTGGCATCTGGGAATTTCTGCTTCAAAGCTTATTTTAGGATAACCAGAAATTGGGTCTCCTTGGAGAAGAGGGTCACCTCTGATTTTCATAAAAGTGTAAGGCACGGAGTCAGACATGTGGTTTGCAGCTGGCTCCCGGGGTGCTAGAAGGGCACTTCCCCTTTGTAAGCTCCTCCACTTCCCTCTTCTCAAGAATGAGATAGGACTTCCCAGGGAGCCGGCTCCCGGGAGGTAGGTGAAACTGCTCGCCTGTTTCACCGGCTCTCCCAGGAGCTCGGGTGTGGGATGAGCAAGGGTCTGGGTTCAGGGGCCAGCCCAGCCTTCAGCACAGAGCCCCTCAATCACCAATCCTTGCTGACCCTCACGGCAAAGCAGCTCACAGCTGTACCCATCCCATCGCAGGACAGAGAGGAAGGGGGAGAGGAGAAGAATTTTCTAGAATGTCTCAGCCTTTCCCTTCCCCCATCCCTTCTCCTGGCTTCCATAGCCCTTACCCTTGGATCATGCCCATTTCACAGATGAGAAGATGAGTTTCAGCAGGAGGTGGCATTGTCTGAGACCCAACAGCAGGGGAGTGAGGCAGCCTCAACCAGAATGCAGGACTCCACCTTCCAAATGTCACATTTTGTCCCAGGCAGTCCAACACAGGGCTGGTGTTCAGCAAGGATTGGTTGAAATGCTGCCTCTCGGTCCTGAGATCCCGGCTCAGGATGCTCTTCTGGGCTAGTAGCGGTGGGAAGGTAGAAACAAGACCAGCATGAGACACCACACAGGCTACAGGCTGCCCCGCAGCCAGGAGAAGTCCTGGCTGCCCATCTGTGAAGTCGGAAAGTCAGAAGACAGGAGCTAAACTGAGACTGACTGGGCCTTTCATTCATCAGTTCACACACACGATTGAACCCCTGCTATAAACTTGGACAGTGGGGTAGACAATGACAGATCCTACACCTGGCTGTAGTCTGGGAGATAGACAGGTAAACCGATCGTTAGCCCAAGAAGGTTAGTGTCTCAGCAAAGGGGCTCTAGGAGGCAGGAGGGAATCAGTAACCTTGGGAGACCTCAGAGACAACTCCCCAGAGGAGGCTATGCCTGAGCGGCCCTTGAATGACTCCAAAGTGCACAGCAAGGAAGATAAAGGAATTTCAAACAACGGGGTGGGGGGGGGGGCAAGTATTTATAAGAAATAGCGGATTCTCATATGGGTATGGTGGTTCTGTGTGATACTTTGTACTATAAGAGGTAGAGGGTAATGGGAAAGGGCAATGACACTCATTGTCTGTAGTCCTTACAACAGTCCTGTGAGCTTGCTACTATTAGCACATTTCACAGATGAGGAAAGGAGGTTCTGAGCAGGCCAGAGCAAGGCTTCTCACTGAAACTGAGTCCTGACTCCTGGTGGCTGAACATATTATAGTGTCTTCGTGAGAAAAGATGGAGCTTCAAAGGACATTTCTTTAGGAATGCTATTAGGACACTTAAATGCCAGTAGCAGAAACCCAGTTCTGAGAGTCTGGGATTGGTGGCGGTTGGGGATTGGCTTAGAACTGAAGAGATCAAGGTCCAGCTTCAGCCTGGACTCGGTCACTCAAATGTCATCATAAATTTGCCTTTCTCCAGCTCACAACTAGTTTCATCCTAGGCTGCTTCATTTTCAGTTAAAGTTTCCCTGGGATGCCACCAGAAATTCCAGCTTACATCTTCTCACCTTAGTACCCACTCTCCATGCAAAATATGCCCGTTTCCTCCTGTTTCAACAGAAAGTTTTAAGCTTATGTTGCATCGGCTCGTTCGGGTCCTATCTCTTCTGCTATGCCCAGACCTGGAGCCAGGGCAATGAATAATAGGTGAATCTCACCTCACCCACATGGATAGGGTAAGGGAAGTTTGGATCCCAAAGAAGATTCCAGGTACCGTTACCAAGAGAAGGGGAATTGATGAGGGGAAGGTAAAAATGAGATGTTTCCATAAGCCATTACTGAATGGCAGATACTCTCTTATGGGCTCTCCTAAAACCCCATTAATGTCTTCTTCAAGTGTCAGGGCAAAAATGGGCCATGAAGGAATATTAACCCTACTAGGATCTCTAGACATGTGTAACATAAGAGAGTCTACAGAGGATGGGAATCCAACTTCTCTGGCATGGATGGCAAGCTAAGTAAAGGCGGAAGGGCTCCATACCACCAGACACTGTGAAGTTAAATATGCATGGTAACCATCTTTTATAAGAGGACAGAAATTCTATATGCTAAGGAGCAAACAGAAGGAGAAAAAAAGGCTGTTTAAAACAGGCAAAAAAAGGGGGGGGGGGACAGGAAATTTTAGAAAAGACGGGACAAATATAAAACACAAAATCTCATTGAATAAATTAGTCAAAATCCATCAGTAATCATAGGTAATATAAGTGGAATAAGTTGTGCCAATTTTTAAAAAATGAAGGGTGTTAGATATGATTTTTTAAATCCAAACAAATATTTTTACGAGAGATAGACTTAAGGAAACAAAAATGTAGAACCTATAAGGAAGGAGACATAAGATATGCTAGGCAAATAGTAACCAAAAGAAATCTGGGTAGCTGTATTAATATCAAAGTGTACTGTAGGCAAAAAGGATTACTAAACATAAAGATGGTCACCACCTTTTGAAAAAAGATTCAGTTCACTAGAAGGAAAAGAATTCTAGACCTGTATATACCAAATAAACTCGCTACAAAAAGTAAAATTGACAGAACTATAAAGAGAGATTAATCATTAACATGAACAATATTAAGAATGAAAGGGAGATACTATTATAGATTTTTGCAAAGATTAAGAAAGAGAATAAGAACACTGTGATCAATTTTATGCCCAAACAAGGGAAAACTCAAATGCAGTGAACAAATTCCTAGCAAAACAGAATTTGCCAAAACTGACTTGGGAAGAAATAGAAAGTGTGAATGATCCTATAACCTTTAAAAATAAAGTGAATGAAACACGAGAAGTACTTGGTTTTGCTAAGGAGTTCTACCAAACACTCAAGGAACAGATCATTTCAGTGTTCCTCGGACTCTTCAGAGGAGAGAAAAGGGGAAACCCTCCTGTTCATTTAATGAGACCAGCAGAGTGTAAGATCATAAAAATGAGAAACAACTCAGATGTCCATCAAAAAGTGAACAGATAAATAAGTTGGCGTATCTTCCCATAATGGAATACTTTATGACAGTGAAAATGAACTACAGATCCACATGTCAACACAGCTTAATCTCAAAAGTATAATGTTAAACAACTTAAAAAAAGGTAGTACATTAAAAAAAAACCCTAAAACATGATCCCATTTATATAAAAGTAAAATGCTGGCAGAACAACACAATGTATTGTTTACCAATACATACATATTTGCTAAAACAAGTCAGAGGTTGGTAAATTCTGTTAGTTAACCTGAGAGGTGGTTACACTGGTATGCATTTTAATACTCTTTAATATTTTAAGCCACACATATATGCTTTTTATATAATCTCTTTGATGTATTTTATTTAAAAATATTTAAGGACAGAATCCAGAGAAGGCAATGGCACCCCACTCCAGTATTCTTGCCTGGAAAATCCCATGGACGGAGGAGCCTGCTGGGCTGCAGTCCGTGGGGTTGCTAAGAGTCGGATACGACTGAGCGACTTCACTTTCACTTTTCACTTTCCTGCATTGGAGAAGGAAATGGCAACCCACTCCAGTGTTCTTGCCTGGAGAGTCCCAGGGATGGGGGAGCCTGGTGGGCTGCCATCTATGGGGTCACAGAGAGTCGGACACGACTGAGCGACTTCACAGCAGCAGCAAGGACGGAATCGCCTGTAGCAGAAGATCTATCTGAGTAGAGGAGTTATTCGAGGTGTTTAGTGTCTTCCTTTTGTTAGTCTCTAGGTTCTGAATCTTTTACTATGAACATATGATACTTCACAATCATATTATTTTAAGAGATTTTTAAGCCTTTTAGAAGAAGGGAGGTAATTTCGTTGCCTAGAGCTATCCTGTCTTCCATAATTTCACTAATCTCAGTAAAAGTCATTTTATCACAGTTCAGGCTCCGCCTGGAATGTTAATCCAAGGTTAGATCCCTGCCTGCTTGGTCAAATATGTACCCTGCTGGCATGGAGAACTGGAGCCTCTGAAATGCCAGGGGTGTGACCTTGACGTCCAGGTGAGAGTGGGGCTGGCCAGAGCCGTGGCGAGAGGCTGGGCCATGAGAGGCCTCCAGCATCGGCTAAGCCAGGACATGCCAGGCGCTGAGGGGGGCACAGGTGTCAGCTGTGGCTGCTGGCTGTGTCCCTGTCCACAGTCTTACAGTCAGGCAGCCTCATGTACAGCGCCGCTCTGAAGGACTGCAAGAAGAGCAATGATGCTCTTCTTTCTCTCTCTGGGGAAGGCAGTGAGTTTGATTCCTCTGGTGGCCAGAATCCCTTAACAGATGATAGCTAGAGCTGAGGCCAGGCACAAGCTTCAGTAGGACATGCGGAGAGGACCTGATCTCAGGACCAAGCGAAGGCTAGCTCCCAGCTTGGCACTGGATGTGGAAAGCCACTGCTCCAGCAGCCTAGGCAGGGAAGCACGAAGCTAGGCAGCACCCACTGCCTTAGAGCGAAAGCCAGATTTTGTCCTGCTCTGGAGCTGCAGAGACCCAGGCAGTCTCCAGGGGCCATGGGTGGGCCAGGGTGGGCAGGACTTGCAGGGGCACCCCCGGAACCACAGCTGCTGGCAGATCCCTTTCCCTGCACACTTAGATCTCCCAGCCGTATTATGTGCACGTAAGGTCTCCACGCCCCTGGCTGTTCCCACCAAAATAGATGGACAGGACTTTACACGATCGCCATAAATGGAAATGCAGTACCACTTGTGGAAAATGGAAGCACTTGTGCACAGAGAAGCAATGACACGAGACAATGCCCCCCAAGTCTGTCCGGATTTCACTGCCTGATTAAAGCTCTGAGCCTGTGCTCGCTTCGGGTTATAAAGGGAGACCTGCATGCTGGGTGCTGAAAAACACACGCCCCTCGCCCCATGTGGAGTCATCCCTCTTGACCTCAGAAGGCTTGAGATAAAAACAATAAAGGAATTCTCACTCACTGAACATAGAGGAAGGGAAAGCAGGTCAGCCATCCACACTGCAGCACGCAACAGGCCAAGGTATACCTGGGTATGAGGACAGCCTTTCTGAAAGTGTACATCAAATACTCTGTTAAAACCTTTCCTCCCAAGTGTTTGGCTAGCTTTCCTTCCGGGACCTTCAATCAGCTTGACTCAGCAGATACTGACTGAGGACTTACTATGTGCTGGCCACTCAGTAGGGGTTTGAAAGGCAAGCGCCGTGCCTTCAGGGACCACAGATTCTAGTGGAGAGGCAGACGTATTCACTGCCGGTTTTAATGCAAGGCTGAACAAGTCTTTATGTCTTCTCCCAGCCTTTCCCCCACTCATGCAAAACAGGATGTAGGTGTTCAAGAATCATTTTATTCAGACACAGAAAGAGCAAACATTCATTGGGTTCAAACTATGAGCCAGGCAATATATGGGATACTTGTAGACATATTTTATAACACTTAATCCTTTCAAGGATTGGAAAGGTGGTTATCTTTACCTCTGCTTAGAGGGGTTAGGTAACCTGACCAGGGTACACAGCATGTTAGAAGCCGACTTGGGAGTTGAAAGCCAGTCTCCTGAATGTTCCCCCGTGTTGGAACCCCTATTGACGTGGGTGGTCCCCCGCTCCCTCCCCCCCAATCCTGTCCCATCTCGCCCCGCCCTCCCCAGGGCCCAGCTGAGAAGAAGCAAAGGCGAGGCCGGGTCTGGCCTTGCGGCCTTGCCATGGTGCTCTGCTCACCGGGCCTCTGCATGTGTCCCCCCAGGAATCCAGCACGATCCCGCACCGCGTGCTCCAGAAACCTTCTCAGCTGCTGCAAGAGCCTTTGGGCGCTCAGGTTCCTCCAGAGACACGGGGGAGGCCCCGGGGAGGAGCAACCAGGGACGCCACCGTCAGAGGAGCCGCCAGCAACCCTCGCCCAGGAATCGGTGAGGACGCTGCCCTCCGAGACTGTGTAGACCCGGCCCCATGATGCGGAAGATAACTGCTCCCCATCACCAAGATTTGACCCACGGAGCCACCAACGACCCCAAAACCGCACAAATCACAGAGGACACGCCCCACCTTGAGCCCGGGGACTCACAGAGCACAAGGCGGGTGGGTGCTGGGGTCCTCTGGGCTGGGATGGAACTGGCCTGCCATGCCCCGGGACTCCCCTGGGTCCGGGTCTGCCAAATCCCACGGGTTCAAAGCTCACGTTGGTGCTGGCCCTGGGTCACCAGCAGAGATGGCGGCACTTCTGAGGACCTGTGTGTGTGCAGAAACACGGGTGCCGTCTGGGCACCGCAGGGGGTGTTGCCATCCCTGCGCTCTGCGGGATGCAGGGAGGGAGGAGAAGGGAAAGGAAGGCCGTCGGTCTTCAATGAACACCTTCTGTGTGCCCGGTACTTCCCCTGCGTCGGCTCATGGCGTCCTTAGTAGCGCGGCTGGGATCGCTGATGCCCCTTTAGGGGGTGGAGATAGGCTCAGGGAAGCGTGGGGCCGCTCAGCTACAAGGTGCGTCTCGCACAGGACACTTAGGAATCCCGGTGGAAGGAGGGAACAAACAGCAGGAGAATGGGTGGAAATCCAGGCCTCCAGCCCATGCTCTTCGACAGGACCGTACCAGTCTCTGCGGAGAGGCCTCGGCGCTTCCCTGACTCAGCCGACGCTCCTGCAAGCGAGGCTCAGGTCCGGAGCCCGGAGGGTGACCTTCATGCTGCAGTTCTGACTCTCTGGTGCTTTCCATCTAGAAGGAGTGGCGCGGGGCGGATCTGCGGGGGGAAACGTGAGGGGCGACCGGGAGGGCCAGGTTGGGGAGGGGGACCCAACAGGCCCGAGGCAGGACGTTGGTCCCGGCGCGCCCTCTGCTGGAGGCGGGGGTCCTGCGGCGGCCTCCCGCCTGGAGCAGCTCCTTACTCACTCTTCCCCGGGGGTACCGCTCCCCTTTCCTACTTTCAGGGTTGTTGAAGAGACCCAAGGAGGTGGGGGAGATGAGGTGCCCATGGGCTCCCCGCATGACCACTGCCCCTCCCCGAGCCCCTCTTCCCCTGGTTGCAAGACCCCCTCCTGGCGTCCCCTCCCCAGCCACTCACGCCTTTTCAGTCCCCCTGCCCAGCCTTCCATGTGGCCACTGCCCAAGGCTCCGTCCTGAGCCTTTGCCTCTCACTGCTACTCCTCACTCTCTGTGCCCTCATCGGCACCCCCGAAGCTACCTGGCTTACCTGGAAGATGCCTCACAGATGTGTACCTTCCAGGTTCCTGCTGGAAGCTCTCGCTGTTTCTCAGCCTCACCTGGAGCATGTCCGCCTCTGCACCCTGACCTTGGCCCTGCAGCTGCTCCTCTCCCGGGGGCCCCCTCCCCAGATAGAAGCCCTACAGTTGGCTTCAAAGGTCCGTCGTCTTGGCCCCGCCCTTCTCCTGGCTCCTGGCGGCTCCATGCTCTGGATGGACTTCTCTCCCACGTGTCTCCACCTGGTTCTCTCCACCTGCCCTGCCCTCCCTTGGTCCCGCTGCCTTCCCCTCCATCAGGAAAACGGGAAAGCTTCCCCCCTGGCCCGCCCCTCCCCGTCCACTCTCTGTCCTGCAGCCAGAGTGGGCTGTGCAAAACAAAAGACAACCGCGCCCAGAAAACCAGCCGCAGGCCCCGCGCGGTGGGCCCTGCTGTGCCCTCCAGCCTCCTCCTTCCCCCACTCTCCCTTCCACCTCTTCACTCCAGCCCCACCAGCCTTCTCCTTTGGGTTTATTTAACTCACTGCTCCTTCCAGCTGCGCCACACACAGAGCTGTTTCCACCACTTGAAAAGCTGCTCTTGTCCTTTCAGCCACGGGTGAAACATCCCTGTGATGTTTAATGAAATATCACTTTTCAGGGAGTCTTCCGGAGTCTTCCTTGACTGTTTCTGTTGGGTCTGGCCTCCCACCCGCACCCCTGGAACTGTCCTCGGAAGCCATAGGCAGGCCTGTCATGCCTGCGTGGTCCCCTGACCCTTGTCTGCCAGTGAATCCTGCCTGGTTCTATTGACCATTGTGTGTCTAGCTCCTCGGAGACTGTTTGGCCCACGTAGTGGGAGCTTTAAGCAATTTATCTGCCAATACCCGTGAAGGCACGATTTGCCCCAGTGTTCCCCAGAGATGCTCCATCTGTTGGCTGGATTCCTCTGGAAATCTCAGAATCCCTCTCTTGGAAGTTTTCCCAGGAATCTAAGACAGGTGGGTCTCTATGTCATAGCCCAGGTAGATGGGGCATAAGACGGGTCTGGCTGATCACAGACCCAGCTGGTCAGGGCTGACGTCAGGGTGCCTACGTGCCACCTGCCACCGCAGATCTTTCTCTGAGCTGCCCCACCCTCCTGGAGACCTCCTGCATCCCCTGCTGGCTGCAGAAGTGGGGCGTGTGCTGCCCAGAGGAGAAGCCTCTGCACTGGCCCCCCAAATCCACACTTCGTGTTATCATGATGTTCCAATAAAGCTATCAAAACAGACGCTGCCTTGCAGTTTTATTTTTTAACTTCCTGGTGAGGAAATACTCACAAACTCCATCATACACTGTGTCTTGATTTAGAAAAAGAATTATGATAAAATGTTGGGGTAGAAGCCAGCTGAGAAGTTGCCTTGACGGGTAAAAGAGTCCTCAGGAAAGGAGGTCTTATCTTTAAACATCATGTTGGAAATGAAGGACAGGCTGGTCAGAAGTTCAGATCTTCGTCTGACTCACCTGGTGAGCCAGGTACATGGTACGCACTCAGTGTTTGTGGAAGGAAATATTTCTGAAACTGTCAGATTCAGCGATGCCTTTGTTAGGTGGGAGAGAGAGACATCTTTAAAATGGAAAACTTGTCAATCAAGGAAGTCTTCTGCAGTGGAGAGTAAGTGAAGCGCAAGTGAAAAACCAGGTCAAGGATTCTATGCAAGGAATGATTCCCAAAGCACTCATGAAAGGGCTTGGACAAGGGAGGGAGGGAGCTGACCAGAGCCCAGGTTACTGTTGGAAAAGCGGTGTCAGCAGTGAGTAGTGATCCCTGGGGTGGAAGGAGGAGGCTGTGGAATCCTGAACCTCTGGGGCCTCGCAGAAAGACACACCAAGACACACCTTGATGAATTCCCACAGGAAGCAGAGAAGAAATCGTTTGAGTCATCACAATCAAAGCTTACAGGAGCTGATCTGCCTGAAGTGGATTTTCATATATTTCAGAGCAGAGAAGACAAAGTGTGTTAAGGGGTCCTTGGGGAAGATGAAAGTAGCAGACCGAGGCAGTCACTAGACAATGTCAAACAGTTCTATGTAGGTGGTACAAAAAGTGTGAGGAAGTGTCTGCTGAAGGAAAACTGTGTGCTGAGTACTGGAGCACTTTATAGATGCCCAGCCAGGGCCAGAAGCCTGGGGACCACAATTTCCAGAATCCATTCCAACAGGTTCAGATTCCACCAATGGGAAGTGGAGAGAAGCAAAACCACTGTTGCTAAGTAGGCCAAGGAGGGAGGGACAGGAGGAGGGGAAGGAGGTGCTGGGAGGCTTGAACACGGCTGTGGGTCATGGAGCAGAGCGGTTCCAGATGGAGTTGCATCCAGGAACATTGCCTCATCCTGTGAGTAGTGGGAAGGCTTCGAAAGGCCTGCATCGAGAGGGGACTGATGAGGTCTGTGTTACAAAAGAGATCTTTGAGAGTCCAGCTTGGGAAAGGGGTGAAGGCAGGGTGAGCAAGGGCAGCCCCACTTTGGGGGTGGGGAGAGGAGGGGTCGACAGTCACATCAGATCTACTCCAGACCATACAGCAGACTTCAGGCTCCAGGCCAGGTACCTGAAGGAATCAGACCCTTCCCGCCCTCCAGAGAGGTGGGCTGATGCTTAAACAATGTCACCCAGTGCTGGGGTCACCCAGAGAGGAAAGTGTGTGTGTGTGGTGTGGAAAGATGTGGGCCGAGGCAGCTGTGAACTTCTAGGGGGAAACACTCCTGGTGCGCATGGGGCTGCGTTTAGACTTGGGTTAGACACGTGGTAGGCGGTCGACAGCTCAGAGCCCTTGCCTGTGTGCTTACCCGTGGCCGACTCTTTGCGATCTTTTGGACTATGCCCACCAGGCTCTTCATTCCATGGAGTTTTCCAGGCAAGAATACCGGAGTGGGTTGCCATTTCTTTCTGCAGGGTATCTTTCCAACCCAGGGATCAAACCCGCCTCTCCTGTGTCTCCTGCGTTGCAAGCAGGTTCTTTCTCCACTGAGCCATCAGGGAAGGTCAGATGCGGGGAGCCTGTTTGGCACCCGTCAGCTAAGCTGCTAGCGGGTGACACTTGGCTGTTCAGGCTCCAGCTGGAATTTGGGGGAGAGTTTATCATCTTCATTGTCCATTTTAGGGAGCTCTTTCCAGGTCCCTCAAGCAGGAAATGACAGCCCAGGACACCCTTCTCCCACCACAGTAGCCAAATCCCACTGGAATTCTAAGCATTCCAGGGATAATTTAAGAACACTTAATAGTCACCAACAGCCCACAGGGCACAGTTGTCACAGGGCAACTGGGGAAAGGCCCTCTGTGTGTGCCAGCAGCCCTCTGGGGCTCATAATTTTGTTACTGTGAAGAGCATTTTGCAGATGTTGACGCCAGGGCCCCAACCTCTCCACTGAGGGTCATGGAGAGCAACGTGTTTCTCAGGCCCCGAGATGCCACTGTGTGAGGCAGGGCACTGGCCTGGCTGACCCTCGGCTCTTACTCCCTGGGGCTTTGCCAAGACTTTCATGTGCCTGGTGGGCCTGGCAGGATTCCCAAGGAAATAGGACCCCAGAGGACATGCTTTTTGAGCAGCACAGTTCCCAGATCAACCCATCCTTCACATTCACCTGAACTTTTAGAAGCCTTGTCATGCACCCAGACATTAGGTCAGCCCCTCCACAGAGCTGGCTTTTCCATTGGACACAGGCAGAGGGTAGCATCCCCACCACCTGCGACCTGAAGAAAGACAGGGGTGCACCCCACGTTAAAAGCCCAAGTGAAATAGCTGGGTTTCCAACCCAGACCACCTTGTCTCCCAAGTCCAGACCTTTTTTAATTTTTAACCATTCATATTATGAAATTTACATGTAAGGATTAAGCAATAATCAGATATACCCTCTTTTCAAAATTGTGACATTACAGAGAAAGTCAGAGTTCTTTGGACTACCTCTCCCCAGACTTGAGCAATTTCCAAGGCAACCACTGCTACGAAGTGTGCCGTATGGTGTTTGGTTTAATTTTGTTTGGTTTGCAACATAAAAGTTATACTGCACCTCAGGGACTGAACTCAATAATCTGTCTTCAAGGTTCAACTACATTAGCACATAAAGGGCTCCTTACTTATTTTGTCTCATGGTATTGGTACCCACAGTTCATTTAGCTATTCCCCCTAGCCGTGGACATCTGAATCATTTCTAGTTTCTGTTTGAATAATAACACGCTTTTCCATTAAAGGTTATTATAGGGTGTTGAGTATAGCCCCCTGTGCTATACAGTAGACCCTTCTTGTTTATCTATTGTATATATGGTAGCTCGTATCTGTTCATCTCAAACTCCTAATTTATCCCTCCCCTGACCCTTTCCCCTTTGGTAATCATAAATTTGTTTTCTATGTCTGTGAGTCTGTTTCTGTCTTGTAAATAAGCTCTTCTGAATCACTTTGGTATATACCTGAAACTAACACAGTATTATAAATCAACTATACTTCAATTTAAAAAGTAAGAATATGCTGATCATCTGAAACAATGTTTCCTTGTGTGCACCTGCAGGTGGGGTTTGTTCTCATTACTGTGTGTATATGCATGTGTGTCTTTCTGTCTGTCTGTGTCTGTGTGTGTCTGTGCGCATGTGTTTAGCACACCTACACGTATAACTGTGGATATGGAGCATTATGTGTTGCCAAGTAGTCCTCCAGAGAGGCACGGCTCATTCAGGCTCCACCAATAGCACTAGGCGGGGCTTGACTCCTCACAGCTCCATCATCCACCTGTGCCTTTTCTACCATTCCCTGTGGGGTGTCCTTCACCCCCAAGAAGTCACAATAGTCCTCCTAGAGGTGCCTTACCTCCAGTAAGGGCAAGCAGAGGCTCCCTTGGCTCACCCTGGGTTTCCCACAAGCTTTCCCAAGCCTCATGTTCCTCCTTGGCTCTCTGTGGAGGACAGCAGACTTGCCCGAGTCGCATCACTGGAGAAAGACCGTATCATTTCACAAGAGCCACAGCAGTGCTGCATAAGAAGTGTCCACAAACACTCAGCACACGACAGTAACATTTCTGCAGCCCAGAAATCTGTAGGCTGGCTAATGGAGGACGGGCTCTGCTGCGGGGCTCATTAGCTCCGCAAATCTCTTATCCTCTCCTGGGACCCGAGTGCCCACCCCGCTGTTCTCTTCTTGCAGAAACGGCAGGGACCTGGGACAGCAAGCCCAGCAGCATGAGTGCATCTCAGGCTCCTGAGCATCTTGCCTGCAAACACAGCGTTAGCCAAAGTCAGTCGCATGGCCCAGGCAAAGATGGAGTGAGTATATCTACCCCTTCCATGGAATTGAGGTGGAGAGAGGGATGAATGTTACAGGATGACCAGCTAATCCAGACAGTGGCCAAGCCTGGATAGCAACTGAAGGCTGCCTGGCTCTAGAGCTCGGCATCCTCAGGATGGAGGAGACCTGGGTGTCTCAAGCTACTGGAAATTCCCTAGAGCTCTCTACACCTCCCACGCCACAACATTGTAGTTGCTTCCATTTCCAGTACCCCACATACCTTATGCTCATTCTCTATCCTGGCCTACAGTGAGGTCTCCAAGACTCAAATCTGGGCCCTAGCTGAAGACCCTTCCGTTCTGCACCACCAGCATTTTACGGCCCCCTCAATCACCATCACTGGGGCAGGGCCTTCAGGGTCACATTATGGTCTGGCTCTGCCTAAAGTTGCAGGCTCACCTCATACCTCTGTCCCTTGCTCACCCTGCCCACCAGCCCGATGGCCTAACCTCTTATACAGTCTCACTCTGTGGCTATGTCCCCTGCAGAATGTCCTTCCCAATCTTCAGAATTCGCCTTAGCCATTCTTGAAATTTCAGCTTGGGCCTCACCTCCATTTCAAAACTATCCCTGCCCCTTCCTAGAAGAGCTAACCACTTTCTCCTGGGTGCTCGTCCTGTCCGAGGACACATCTCACTTCTCCCAGGGGTTCCCAGACCCAGACACCCTCAGGGACCATCAAAGCTCACTGGTGGAAAAAAACAGAAAAGGACACACTGGCAGTTTTTGAATAATATCCCTGCCGCAGGTTTATGCCCCTGCCATACTGATCTTGTGTGTATGAGTATTCAGATCACCAAGGGGCTGCAGCCATTCTGTGCACAGTGATGTGACTTGATGGGGATGTGGAGTCAGATCCTATTTTTTAGGAGAAGCCAGTCTGGATGTCTATTAGCAATTTTTATTCATTTTAATTAATTCATTTTAATGAATTAATGTTAAAGATCTCAGAAAAGTGG